TTTTGTAAATGCTCAGCGAATGGGATGCTCATCTGGCTCACTCTTGAGTAATAAAAAAGGGTTATTCCCCCGAGTATACTTCCACGCGGTAGTTTCGTTTGATGCGAAACCGGTCATGCGTCCGCACCAATTGGCACTGCGTTTCGGAAACTTCTCATCTTGTCAACCTGGCGACTTCCCCCAACCGCTCATTTTCTTTTCCACGCCCGATCTGTTCAGAAACTCAACCTGACGGAGAAGTACCACGCCGTGCTCCTTATCAACACGGAGGAAAACATGAAAGACTTATTCCTCGTGAAGCAGTACGTATGTTATGGGTACATACAAAAATACACTCTGTACAGTTTGATGGAGAAGAAATTATTTTTAAAAGATGGAAACGAGATAAAACGATGTGACTCCAATAAAATTGTAGAGAAGCTGTTTAGCAAAGATGGGATTTATTCCTTTCCTTCATTTTGTGAATATATTTTTGAATGCAAAAGTAATGCTGACAAAATGATCAAGGAACAGATCGTTCCTTTTAATTTCTCCTACTTAAATAGCGAAATGACGTTCGATTTTCTGCAATTTAAAAATGAACTTGCTGGATTTGTCAAGGAAGGAATTAACGAAATTCTGGAAAAAATAATTTGACCTCGACATAGCGTGGCGGTGACTGCGTGTGTGTAGGTGCCCAGGGGGGGAGTGACAAAGGTACTCTCATCGTTACTCCCCCCTCCCTCATGTGTGTGCAGAATGCTTGTCCGTAGGATGACTGAACTGACACCTTCACCATTTGACACTTCTTTTTTTTTAAAGTTAATTTTTTTTTTTTTTTTAATTAAACTCACATAAAAAATGAATTAAGCCCCAAATGAAACAGTACAATTGTGCTGCCACAGAGGGAAAGGAGAAACTCACAGCAACACGGTGTGTGGTCGCGTATGAGAGAGACAACCCCCTTCCAAGGCAAAGGACGAATGTGAAATTTGGCCTCTCACATAGTGAACAAGAGGTGTCGCCCCTAAGAAGTTTCCACCCCCATGTTGCAGGGCGGACATACCTAGCTTTACCGTACGAGCGAGTGCCCACCGTACGATAGGCGGGAAGTAAAAAAAAAAAAAAAAAATGTCTGCGCAACTGAACCGCGCTGGAAACGAATATTGTGTATGGGCTATTTCGAAGCTACTATAAGTAGGGAGATTTTCCCATTCGAATGATTCGTCCCATGGTCGTATTGGCCTACTGGCCGCTCCACATTTGCAGCCGCCAGTGATCACCGCTTTCCACCGCCGACCACCGCGATGGAGACAGGCTACCCCCTCCACTCACTTCTTCATAATTGTGTTATTCCGGTTGGCTCCGGTGCCAATCCACACGATGGGCGAGCCCACATACTTTTCTATCGCCAAGACATATTTTCGAGCATTCTCGGGTAGTTCTTCAAACGTTTCGCATTTGGATATATCTTCCTCCCACCCTTGAAATTGTTCATACACAGGTTCGTAGTTCTCTGGCGCGTCCTCGTCTACGGGGTAGCACCCCTTTTGCAGTAGCTCGCCTGTCCAAAAAGTGAGGGAAAAAAAAAAAAAAAAAAAAGTATACCAAAATAAGCCGTGTGCGTAGATACAAAGTGATTCATTTTTTCTTTTCACCGGACGAGAGTAAACGGATTGGTAGGGGCTACATATATATGTGTGGGAAGTTTTTTTTGTTCCCCAGGAAGTAACCTCTTATATCATAGAGTGAGCCATACATGCCGCATACCGCATGGCGTACACCCCAGGGGAACTCACCTGTGCCCTTGCTGCGATAACCGACACAGAGGGAAATCTCCTTCAACCCGGACAGAACGTCCAACTTAGTCAAGTTGATGAGGTCAATCGAGTTGATGCACTTGACGTAGAGTAACATAGGGATGTCCAGCCATCCACATCTTCTCGGCCGCTTAGTCGTGGTGCCATATTCATAACCCTTTTCTCGTAGATAATCGCCAATTTCGTTATTGAGCTCTGTCATAAAGGGGCCACAGCCAACCCTGGTCAAGTAACTCTTAACGACCCCTACCGTCAAATTTAACTTCTTGTGATTTATCCCAAGGCCTGAGAAAATACCTCCAACCGTTGTGCAGCTGCTCGTTACGTAAGGATAAGTACCAAAATCTATGTCTAGCATGGCGGCATTAGCTCCCTCGATTAAAATCTTCTTATTCTGATTCATCTGATTATTCATGAAAGAAATTACATCGATGATCCTATCCTTTAATAACAAGTGATATTTGTAGAAGGACTCCAATTCTTCCTCCTTGTTGTAATCCTTTATGTCGTAAAGGTCCATTAAATTATCAATCAGTTTTAAGTATAGCTTTTTAAAATGATCAAAATTTTTTAATGATCCAAGTCGTATACCTACTCTGGAGACCTTAGTCGAATAACATGGGCCGATTCCTCTCTTAGTTGTTCCTATCTGTTTTCCTTCTTTTAATTTTTTGTTTTCTTGGATCGAATCGATGGTCTGATGAATATCAAATAGGATGTGTGACTTGTCCGACAGGTACAATCTATCCATTATATTTCCTCCAATGGAATTTACTTCATTTATTAAAGACTTTACATGGATCACCATTCCGTTGCCCAACACGCAGATATTATTTTCGTAGAGGATTCCACAGGGTAACAGATGAAGGGTGTATTTTTTATCATTCACGGAGATTGTGTGCCCTGCGTTGGCCCCTCCGTTAAACCTGCACGTGATGTTTGAATGCTTGGACAGGATGTCGATGATCTTCCCCTTCCCTTCGTCTCCCCACTGCGAACCCAGGATCGCCACCACGTTTCCCTGGCTCACATTCTGGATGTCGTGCTGGAAGATGTTCATCTTAGGGGTCCACGTGTGTGGGGTCGATTAACTGATTACGCTGATACGCCGTTAGGCAGCTATACCGCTATGCCGCTACACCGGTGGGAGACGGAGATGGCCTAAGGCTGCCAAACTTACGTAGAGACGTCGATTCGACTCGCCTCACGGGGGAGAAGCAATTCAGAGCGTCTTACTCGTAGAGAAAAAATTATCTTTTCTAACAGCACAAAATAGTCAGGGGGAGAAAAAGAATCTACTTGTTGGATAGTTGCTTCGTTGTACTATCAAGGTTAGCTGATCCTTGCATGCGAGAGCTTCCGCACTCAAAAAAAAAAAAAGGCACTCCTTCTTTTGGTACCTAAATTGTAAGCTGACTGCGTGAATATAACTGGTTCAAGCGCTTTCGTTTATTTTCCATTCGTTCCTATTTTGTGTGACACTATTTACGCCAACATGTTAAAATTAAAAAAAAAAATAAAATATTGTCGCCATTTCGTTAGTGCGAATTTAGTTTCCTATTCTATCACGTACATCCGTGGGAGGTATGCAGAAGGGGAGAAAAAAATTGGGAGAGAAATTTCTCTTTTTTTTTTTTTTTTTTTTTTTTTTTCTTAGTCCATTGTCAATTCTTTCAATCGATTGCGCTGCTCTCCTACTTAGCATGCATAAATGTCGTGAAAAATAAATTCAAATTGTGGGGACTCCTTCCAAAGACATGGGTAACACTTTGCAGGGACGTGCACAGCGGTATTCATATTTAGGATGAACGCAAAATGGTACATGTGAAATGCTCATTTAGATGGTATCCATAGGATGGGGAAAAAAGCATGTAGAGTCACACATCAGACAAGCAAGGGCGTTTTTTTCCTGATGAGAGCGAAACGATGAAAATTCCATTCGAGACATCAATTTTTACGTAATTATGTTTTTTGTTTTTATTTTTTATATGGCTTTATGCGAGGAGTCATTTTTTCCCTCTCATCTTGCTAGCTCATTTTGTATGCCTTCACAAAGTGGCGGGTCAAACAGGGAACATTTAAAAGGAGTTTCTTACCGTAACTGTCTATGAGATTGCCACAGGGGAGATAATCGCTGTCCTTTTTTCTCAGCGTAAATGAGTGAGTTAGATAAGCCGCATCCCCCTCAAACGATGCACTTTCTTGGAACCGAAATGAAAATGAACGAATCGAGAACCCTAAATGGTGTTGTTGTCATGTACTCACTTGGACGTTGAACAAAATTACGGACGCGCAAAAGAAAAGCTCGTGTACAGTTTGCTTTCTTTTAAGAAGAAAAAAATGAGTCACACATAGGCGTAGCTGTTTATAAGTCAACATTTATCCAATCGGGGAACAACTGACGGGATGATGTGTGGAATTACAATTTCCTTTTTTTTAAACATATGTTCTTCCTGGCTTATTCGTGAACAGAGCAGAAATGTTGCTGCTTACGGGGGGCATTCAAACGGTTAGAAAAATGTCTTCGCTTCATTTAGAGAAAAGAGGACGGTGGGCCATGTGATGTGTTTTGTACATCGTTTTTCCCATTTCGCTTGCCCTTTGCGTTTTTTTTTTTTTTATTCCGAAATGGGCCAAGAAGTGCACACTATTGCGAGACCTACCGGTGAGTATGTGTTCCATTCCCCCCCCCTCACCTCTTTTTGTCATCCGTTCTTCACACAAGAACACACTTTCGCTGTGCACGGATGTATATATATAAGCGTACAACCAGGTTACATTTCGCCCTTGGAACGACCCCCACTTGGCGTAGCAACAAATAAGGTTCTTTTTTTTTCTTTTCTTTCAAGCAACTACGGGGCGTACTTCATTTGGTTGCTCTTTCCACGTGGAAGTTGCCTTGCCCCTTCCGCAATTTCCCCCTCCAAACTCACATCGCATACACTCATTCGCGCTTTAGCGCATTTGCATATGATCACAACGGCATACCTTCTTCTGTCCATATTTATGTGTACGCCATAATCCTCACCTCAGGTGTATCACTTTTGCTTGCCATTTGTTTGCCCCTTTGGAAGAACAGTCCGTCTGCTTCCTCGGGAAAAAAAAATGTTCGTTCATCTCATGGTTTGATAAAAGGGGGTAATGTGGCAGCAGCTTATGGCGATAATTAACGCCAGCAATTTGGCAACAATTCTGTGGCAATCTTTCGGCAATTTTACTGCTATTTTGCTGCTATATTTCAACAAAACAACCGCCGCGCGTCCAAACGCGACAACGAACTTGCCCATTCTCCGTGCGATCAAACTTTGTGCCAGATTGACAAAGAGAAAAGAAAATTAAAAAACGAACAGAAGAAGATGAAAAAAAAAAGTCGAAGGAGCGATAACTTAAGTGAAGAAACCTTTCACGTTTGTACAAATGCATACCTTTCCAAATTCCCTTTATTTTTTTTTTTTCCCCCTTCTGGACTCAAAATTTTTTCGCAAGTTATGGATTAAAAAAAAAAAAAAAAGAAATAAAGAAAAAAAAAGAAACGAAAGCCAATTTGAAAATGTAAAAAAGGAGGTTAAAAAAAAAAAGAAAAAAAAATTACACTTCTTTGCAAATACGATTATACTCTTAAAACTTTTGCTTAATATGTCATGGATGGATTGTTGAAGAGCATATGGAAAAAGAAGAACTACAAAACTATAGCGGAAGAATAGAAAAAGAAAAGAGCATTGGCGACTGTTACGTTCAAACGCCGCATCTCCCCCCTCGAGCCCTGTAACATACGTACGCAGCTATGCCATACAAGTGTTTATAAGAAGAAGAATAAAAAAACGTATCCTCATCCATGTAGCTGCGGGCATGGCGTCACGTCCTGAACTCGAAAAGCATATATTTGGTAGGAATCTGAAAACGGAGAAGGCGTTACACGCATAACCAAGGGATACCCACGGAAGAACACCTTCTTACATATATATATTTACAGATCAGCTAAACGCGCAACGCATTCTTGCGCAGAAGGAAAGATCCCAAATCTGTGATACCCAAAAAAGAAGCAGTCCCATTTGATTATGGACATTTGTGCCGTCCCATTCGTCAACTGGAAAAGATAAAAAAAAATAATTCGTACGCCCACCTTCCCAGTTAATGTAATCCCAAGTGAAAACAAAACAACCCCAATTAAGAAGAAGACTCTTTAACTATGTATAACTCGTGGTTTGAAATCATTAGGTCCATTTCGCCCTACAATTGGGCAATGCTGGGCATCGCAATGGCCCTGTTCCTTTCCATCATTGGCGCAGCATGGTACACACAAATTGGAGGAAGTTACATAAAAAGAGAATAAAATGAAATGTCTCACGTAGCGCCATCGTATATTGCATCTTTACGCGGAGGGACTGGCGCGATTGTCGTGATTACCATGATTGCAATGGGTAGACCGTCCCGAGGCACGAGGACATAGGCCATCCCGCTCGGCATGTGCAAATGTGCCAAGTGGACTTGCGCATCATAGCCAGAACGCGTGCCCAATCCATTCATCCCATTTGTTTCACCCTTTCTTCCCACCGCAGGGGAATATTCATTTGCGGGACGAGCATAGTGGGAGCCTCGGTGAAGTCCCCACGTATCATTTCGAAAAATTTGATTTCCATTATATTTTGTGAAGCACTAGGTAAGCGGCGCAGCGTTGCGCGGGAGGGAAGCTCGATGAACAGCGGAGTGAACAACGTAGTGAACAGCGTAATCACTGCATATAAGGCGATCCATTAAGACGCTGTCCAGCGCGCATGCTATATATTTTCGCTCTTATCACCGTGTATCTGTCTCCCCCCTCTGTAGGAATGTATGGAGTCATCACCGCAGTTTTTCTTCAAATTAAGTTTAGCGGACTCAGCAAGGAAGTGCACGCCCCACTGGTGCTAACAACCAAGACGGATGCACTGATTATGAATACTATCAGAGGGGGATGGGCCCTGTTTGCGAGTGGTCTCACGGCGGGTCTCTCCAACCTCGTTTCTGGGTAAGCAGACAGAGAAAAGGGGCGAGCGACAAAATAGCCCCGGAATAAGGAGCCAAAAAAAAGAAAAAAAAACGAATGCACTAGAGCATTAAATTGAGACAATTCGAGAGACACAATAGACCGTGTTTTTCCTAACGCTCGGAAGGGGAACCTATCAGTGCGGTTTTGTGAATCTCTCCTATGACCACCCTCATGGTGTAACATATAAGCGTGGTACTCATAATTCACAGTTTAGGTTTCTCATGCCGTGCTGTCACCTCTTCGCTTTTCATTTTTTTTTTTTTTTTTTTGTGCAGCGTTTCCGTAGGAATAACGGGGAGCTCATGCGCCTTGGGAGATGCGCACAATTCGGATCTGTTCGTTCGAATGCTGATGATTGAAATATGTGCCAGTGTTATAGGTTCGTTTCATCTTTTCTAATAATCAAATGAGAGAGTGTGACTTGTGTGTTTATAATTTAGTTGTGTGCATGTGTGTTTCCAGCTTAGATATATATCGAAGAATACCCGAAACTTACGTGAGCATGTGTTGATTTACACCTAATATGTGAATTTTTTTTTTTTCAGGGCTTTACGGATTAATCGTGGCAATCGTGTCCATCGGGGATATTCAACTGACTTAAGCACTGCCGAGAAATATTCTGTTACTTTTTACTTTTACATTTTTTAAATTGTTTTTGTTTCACGCATCGATGATAACTGCAGTGCACAATTAGCGCTTTTATTTTGCCTCATTATTTGCCCTCTTTTTTGCCCCATCTTTACTCAACATTTTGGTAATCTTTTTTGGTCTCCCGTTTTTCCTTCATGAAGTTGCGCCAATACCCCCTGTTGTTCCTTTTCTCTTTATCACATGCAATTGTAAAAGCTCCAAGCTGCAGTGCCCCCGTATGTATGCGTGGGTAAGTGTGCATCACCACGTGCCTATGCATACGCATAGGTGCTCCTAGATATATCTACCCATAGGTGCAACTTTTTTCCCCCAACTTTTTGGTCCTTAGGGGATTTCAGCCGGTATGCAGTTTCTGCACAATTTATGCTCATCACCCTGCTGGCACAATATTGATGAGTCATGTATACCTACCGGATGAAAACCCCATGGAGGAATCGCACGCCTTCCTCCTCCATTCGAAAAAAGCAAAAAATTGTGTATACATTGTAGCAACATACGAAAACCCCCATTTGGCGCTCACAAAAAATACCGCGTTTTTTTTTTTTTAATTTAAGAAAAATAAAAGATCCCGTGAAAAATACAAACGGGAAGATTTTCCGAGTCGATGGAACCGTGCCCAGAGCCTTTTCACGATCCGCGTTCATATGCATTAATGTGGGAGAGGCTGCCCCCAATTTCTGCAGCTTTTCCCTAACATGCACAAAGCGGAATAACATCCCGTGTAGACGCGCCTCCAGTAACTCCCATTTAAAATAAAAGTTATCTTCGGACAACGCTGCGAAATGAGTCCCACATGGGGGGAAAAGCAACGTGACACATGTGCCACTGATTATTTTCACTTTGGTATGCATACTCTTTTTTTTAAATGCTCCCCAAACGGCTTCCCTCTGACATATTTGGAAGGCACAATCTCCAAATTGGTTAGACTGTCGACCCGGTGGGTAACTCCAAAAATGCAGTAATTCCTGAGAGTGCCCAAAATTGAGAAAAAAAAAATTCCTCCATCGTTACCATACAAATGGAGAAGCGCTGACGAAGAGTTGATATATGCGATTAAAAATTACTCAGCAGAAGAGACAAGGCCAAAAAGCTGCCACAAAAATGGTGTCCCCAAAAGTGCACAAGGATGACGAAAAATTGGGGTGAGTTAGCCAAAAAGGTGATACCAAAAAAAAAAGAGACGTCGCATCGGAGAGGGAAAAAGTATGCTTCGAAGAACGAGGCGTAAATATATATGACGACAGCTGCCCGAAAATTTTCGGAACCACAGCATTATTTTGCGTCATTTGTGGAGGCAGCACAAAATGGGCATACATAACTTCTGAGTGCGCCGCCTTGTACCCAAAACGAAAAAAAAAAAAAAAAAAAAAAGAAAAATCATCATTTATGGCCAAAATTAACTCCATATATTTCTAAAAATAAATGCGTTATTTCTTTTCTGCAGCATCAAAGGCATGTTTCCACTTGCCTAAATTTTTTCAATAAAAAAAAGAGGATCCCTTTTCCGTAAAACGTCGCAACTTCGAGTTGGTCTATATGCATTGTTTAACGAGAAGGATTCTACGTTCTCTTCCCCCTTAATAGGGATATATATACTTGTAAGGTGAATCAACTAGCGCGCCGATACGAACATGTTGCTGCCGTCTGAATGAGACTTATGCCCCTGCAATCCATACAGAAAAAAAGAGCGTGTAAGATAGTTCTCCTTGGTGACCTTATACAGCTTTGTTACCAAAATAGGATTCTTCCCTCAAGGGGAAGGAAAAAATTCTCCTGCGCGACGGAGGCGCAAAAAGAGGATACTTCCCCAACCATCCAAACAACCTCAACAAAACATCAATCACCTGAACCATCCAAACAACCTTAACAGTCACAACCACCTCAACCCCCTCCTCGTTTAATCCGTACATATATCTAGACTGCCATCGCGGGGTTAGCGCGAAGAACTGCCTCACAATTGAACCAACCCGCAGGCGCCCAGCAACGAAAAAATGGGGAAGAAGAAGAAAGTCGGGAAGGAGAGAATTGACAAGTACTACAAACTAGCCAAGTCGGCGGGGTATCGAGCCAGATCTGCATTTAAGCTAATTCAAATAGCCCAGAAGTACAACATTTTTAAAGATGCAAACATACTAATCGATTTGTGTGCAGCACCGGGAGGATGGTTACAGGTGGCATATAAGAATATGAAAAGAAGCAGCACCATCATAGGAGTAGATTTAGTGCCCATCAGAAAAATAGATAATAATGTGATTACCTTGAAGTGTGATATAACGACAAGTGCCTGCATTAAGCAGATAAAAAATATAATTAAATATGAAAAGGCTGACGTGATCCTAAACGATGGAGCCCCCAATGTAGGAACAACATACTCATATGACAGCTTTAATCAAAATGTGCTTGTCCTTAATAGTATCAAAATAGCCAACCTTTTTCTAAAAAAAGGAGGTATCTTTATTACCAAAGTTTTCCGAAATGAAGAATACGTATCCCTAATATGGGTTATGGAGAAATTGTTTGGCCAAGTTAAGCATATAAAACCAAGAAGTAGCAGAGAAATATCTTCCGAAATTTATCTGGTCGGTTTGAATTTTTTAAGTACTAAGGTGGATAAGAAGATGTTTGATTATACCTACGTTTTTAGTGAACAGTTTAAGCAGGACTCCAATAAGGTAGGCACAAACGATGCCAGTGACAACGACATTTTCAGCGATTCTCGTGATAATGAGAAGGAAAACAAAAAAAAAAAAGGCCTGTCAACCATTTTAAAAGAAAAGAAGAAGAAAAATAGACAGGGATACGACCTCGGGGATGATTATCGTGTCACAGATATATGCAACTTTATCCATAGTGGTAATTATGTTGATTTACTCATCAAAACAAATAAATTCACCTTCGATAAGGACTACCTCACTTCGGAAGACCCCTTGGTTAGGAGTACGTATAATGCCATTTATAAGAATTCGAGCACCACGCAGGAGATTCTGCAGCTCTGCAAGGATCTTAAGGTGCTGGGAAAGTCAGACTTGTTTCACCTCATCAAGTGGAGGTACAAAGTTAGGAAGGGCATCCTAACCCTGGGTGGAGAGACTCAATCGAGCCAAGTCGTAGACGCAGAAGAGGAAACCAGTCAAGTGGTGGCCCCCGTAAAGGAAGACTCGCCCATCGAAGAAACACGAACTGGCACCACGAAAGCTTCGCTGCAGGATGACGAGCTGAGTGGCTCCTCCGACGACGACTTGGAAAAAGACGAAATAAACGAATTTTCCACCCAAATGGAAAAAAAAAATAAAAAGGAACAAAAAAAAAAGGAGAAAAAATTGAAAAAAGAACTAGAGAAAAGAAAAATGAACAAATCGATCAAGCCCTATTATGACGAAAATGAAATACATTTCAACAAAAATATGTTAGAGTTGCTGGATAAGCAGTCGTTCGAGGATCACCTGAACATACTGAGTGGCAGAAAAAATAGCGACAGACTGGAGATTAACCAAGAAAATGATTCTTCTAGCGAGAAGGAGGACAATGCGCAGATAAACGATACAAATGAGGCCCAAATGGACCGCATAGAATACCTTGTCAATTTGGATTATCAACAGCAAAAAATGAAGGAAAAGAAAATGAACGAAGAGAAAAACAACGAGAAATTGACAAGGCGGAAAAGAGCAATGGATTACAAGAACGAGGAGTTGATGAAAATCCAGAAAATCATGGAGTTGAAAAATGAAGAGTTAATGATGAAGAGGAAATTGCACGAGTATCTCAGTGATGACGACGAGACAGACGAGGATGCCACGGATGAAGACGTCCCTGATGAAGGCGCGACTGATGAGGACACAACTGATGAGGGCAGCGAAGCCGAGAAGGGGCGCCTCCACCCAGGCAAACGCGGCAAAGACGCAATGAAGAACGATGAAAAGGACGCTTACGTAGAAGCTCTCCAGCAAAACCAACACATACACAAAATGGTAGACAAGATAATTCGCTTAAGAAAGAATGTTAAAAGGGAAGAAGAAAAATCCAATGTAAATCGTTTTTTTGACCAAAAGATATTTTCCACGATATTTAATGAGATGTATGGTGAGTTGGATGATAGTGGCGCTGTGGAGGAGGGTCCCAAAGGTCGCAGAGCACGTAAAGGTAGCCTTGCGGGTAGCGATGAAGATGACGATATGGATGCTGACACGGTTGACGACACGGGTGACGACGAAAAGTTCAACGAACTGGACGAGCGTCAATTGCCGAACATCCCAATGCCAAACAAGCTAGCCAGAAAGGAGCGAAACAAAAAGTTAAGAGAAAAATATGGAAACAACGAAGTAAAGATGAAGA